ACATTCGTGTCGCCGGTTATGAGGCCAACGTCGTTGCCGAATATCCGCCTAAAACGTACAAATAATCCCCCAGTAATGGACACGTCCTCCTACACGTCCCCACCAAGGTGCCTCGACATGTGTGTTGTGTACCCGTTCAGCCACGACATGCTCTTCAAATTCTACCACCGCTGAGGTAACACTCACCCTCCTCACTGGTGTCCCTGAAAGTTGTTTAGCTTGTGGTCAAACCCTCCTTAAACATTTGGTTTAGTTCTCTGCGTTGATGCTGTTTTCGAAACCTTGGTTGATGTGTAATGTCAAGCCAACAAATGAACTCTTTTCATTAATTATACAAAAACAATAACTGGCAGATTTTTAATGGTATTGCGTAGAAATCGATTCTGCCTTAAATAGTTGTGAGATATTTATGGAAAAGAATTTGATTTAATGAAACGTTGTACATTTCAAATGCATATTTGTGCTCTGACAACGACAAATAGAGTGAGGTTGAAAAACAGCTTCATTTTGCGGATGTAGCAGTGCTGTGGCTGTAATGTCTGCATAAATAATCATTCTCCTTCACCTCAGATTTTTTGTTTTGTTGAAAATGTCGTGCATTTTTTCCGGACACGCTCTTATCGTAGAACCCTCTTTGTGTTTATCTGTTCAAACACAACGTTGCCACTAATCTTCACTGCCTCCCCCACCACATGCGATCCGCTCGCCAAAATAGTATTTATAGCGAAACGCCATGACATGGCGCATGTACCAATGGCAAAATGAACAGCGTCGCTCAAATATGGGGACCTGCGCCATCTCTGACTGCTCAGGCGGCAACTTATAAAGCAAATTGGGCTTCCTTTACTAAATGCGGAGATGCTTCACACATAGAATTCTCTGACGACCATTGGTATAGCCAGGACTTGAGTTCAGATGAAGAAGAAAGCGCGAAAAAGAACGTCGAAAAGGCGAGCGTGAATGTGGATGCAATAACACAACAAGCATTAGTGGAGCATTCACGAGAGTCCGCAGAAAGAGTAACCGCTTACTCTGTCCTCGTAAGTCCTCCCATTTCTCACCCCTCAAATCTTCCATTCTGAACTTAGGAATGTGGTTACTTAGTTTTACTATCAGTGACACGAAAGGCCATTTAAATACTCTCAAGCAAATGTTTCTGCGACATACGCAACTCCATTCTGCTTTGCAATGACGGTCCGGTATAGTTTGTAGCAGTAATTTCAAAAGAAATTATTAATTTATGTCAGATTGCACGTATAATCTGTAACTCGGCTAGTTTTAGACCATATTTGGCGCGTTCCAAATACTAGAGTCGTAGGAATATTCTAAAGACAGATATAACCAATACACTATCGTCATTATTAACCATCCTACGGATGGATCAACTACTGCTAATGGTACAATTCTTGATGAGAACTGATTGACAGCTTCAACACTACTTGCAAACTTATTCTTTTCTATATAGTGTATCTACAGGAAAACGGTTCAAAAATAGGCGTTGCTTTGCTGAATGTTTTTAGGAAAATAGTTTGGAGCAGTTGCCACCGTTAAGTGAACTCATTCCTGATCCAGCCACCAATTGGCCTTTCGAATTGGACACTTTCCAGAAACAGGCCATTCGCTGTTTGGAACGCAATCAGTCCGTTCTCGTGACTGCGCCCACATCCGCAGGCAAGACAGCGGTAGCCGAGTACGCCTGCGCAATGTGTCGACGCCGCGGGTCCAGGGCCATCTACACGAGCCCTAAGAAGGCACTTTCGAATCAGAAATTCCGTGAGTTCAGGTAGGCCGCTTCACACGTCCGGTTGATCGTCTCAAATTCGCGCGTCACTTCACGCTGCTATAGCGCGCTATTGGAGGCGCGCGCGTTTGGCCCATTCGAGGACATTTGTAGGAGATGGAGACCCCCTAATTTGACAATACCGCAAAACCCTATAGATAACAGCCGGTCACAACCCGAGAAGAGAGGAGACAGAGTCGAAGGGGAACACGACCGTTTATTCGCGTCACGCCAGCCAAGTCGCGTCGCGTAAAATCGAGTAACTAACTTCTGTGTGCGTATCGATGCACGCGCGTTGCAGGCGACTGCTGACAAAAATCAATAACAAAGAGGATGAGTCATTGATACAGTCGGGCGGACAAGCATACACGCAGCACTCAGGCGCGCGGTGGCTGTCTGTCCACGACAGTGTATTCACGGTAAAAATCGATTGATTTGTGTTCGCTCACGCTTGCAAACTGCATCCGCTCACGAATGCTAATTGTGCTGGCTTGCTGGTCGCCACATCATCGTCATCATTATCTCACAGAGGTACTAACCCACATTTGTGTCACCTGTGGATGTGCTATCCCCGTGTGCAACCCACCAGTGGATTTGTGTTAGCCAACAAATATGTCACGTGGAGAGGCAATGCATGCAATGTGGCCTTTCGCGGCAGCCCCGTTTGCACTGCCGACGCCTCAAACGGAAGCACCTCCTGTCAACTGTACATCCACACACACAGGCTTGCCAGCCTTAGTGCTTTATGTCGAGGCGCCTTGAAGGAGGCGTGTAGGAGGACGTATCCATTACTGGGGGATTATTTGTACGTTTTAGGCGGATATTCGGCAACGACGTTGGCCTCATAACCGGCGACACGAATGTCGCCAACAAGTCAGGAGTTCTCATCATGACTACAGAGATCCTGCTCCACATGGTGTGCAGCCATGATGACGCCATCAGCGACCTGGGAGTCGTGATTATGGACGAGGTAAATGAGGTTGCTGTCATTTTCATCGCTGTAATCACGCTTTAATGACTGGAACGCTAATTGTTCAATAAGTCTTAAGTTAGATACTAAACTAGATTTTTCCTTTAAAAACAGCATTTCTTGTTGTGTTGCTGCAGACACACTTCACCAACGACTTACGACGGGATCAAGTGTGGGAACAGCTGCTCATTGTGCTGCCGCAACACGTGGTGCTTGTCCTGCTTAGCCCGATCCTGGCCAACGTCGTCGACTTTGCCGACTGGCTCGGTCGAATCCGAGGTGGAACCTGCATCCACGTGTGCCACACGCTCAAACGGCCTGTTCCCCTTGAGCACTTCATTTACACGGGCAATTACACTCACAGAGGGCGCGCACTGCACCTCGTCATGAGTGGGAATAATGAAGTCAACCAGCGAGGTTTGTGATCACGTTTCGATTCATGTTTTGACTTGTTGGGTCCCGTCGGTTTGGCTTCCACAACCGGAAAATAACACGACTATAGTCACTACAAGTTCTGTTTCAGGTTACGAAGACGCTCTTGCTGCATTAACTACCCGAAATACGCAGGATGAATCAAGCTATACCGCAGACAAGGTAACGCGCAAAGACACCAGTGAGGAGGGTGAGTGTTACCTCAGTGGTGGTAGAATTTGAAGTGAACGTGGTGACTGAATGTGTGCAAACGCACACACAGGTTGCGTTTTCCAGCTAGACTGCCTCATACCACATTCGAGACCGTCGAACACAGCTTCTGTTGTCAGTCTAAAATGATGTATTCGGTTTGCAGGCTGTGAAGGCTGCATTGGTCTCTGGTCTGGACTGCTACGCGTACTACAGGAGCACAAATTGCTTCCCGCCATTGTGTTCTCCTTTTCGCACAGCAAGATCGCCCACCTAGTCGATTGCTTCAGAACAGTCGACCTGCTTAATGAGGGTGAGAAGCGTGTTAGGTGTCGTTGCATATTTTCCAATGTATTTGGAGATGCTTTGCGCTTTTCCAGTGGAAGAAATTTAGCTCAGCACTACCTAACTGCGAACAACCATATTGTCGTGAAATGCTAGTGCAATTGTTGGAGGGTAAAACCGTGGTCTGTAATGCTCTGGGAGTATTTGTGGTCACCGGTTATCGTTAGTTAGTTACTACTACAAACCATAATGCGCGGTGGTCCAATGTGACCCAATGCTCTTTTTGCACGCAGCTGAGAAGACGGAAGTAGGGCTGGTCATAAGTGCGGCCATCGACAGTCGATTGAAGGAATGCGATAGGGATTTGGAGCAAGTTGGCCTCGTCCGCAGACTTGTAACACGCGGCTTCGCCTTCCACCACGCGGGCATGCTGCCTGTCCTCAAGGAGGTCAGTTTCGTGTTTGACCAGTAGCAAGCCAACAACCAGGACCCATCCTGAGGTCGTTTTTCGTTCGGACATATCAAGTTGACAAGTAATTTAAGGAACAGCATTCCACTAGAACGAATAACCAAACATTTCAGGATTACACGCCTACTAATGCCTCGACTAATTTGACTCAGCTTTATCTCGTAGAAATTGACATTTAACAGCTACTGCACCCCGACAAGTACTATTTTTCTGATCGGGGCCTTCTACTTGGAGGCACATTAGAACTATACACAATACTGAAGAAGGAGAATTAGGGAAAATCGTTACTTTCATTTAGCATTGATCGTACAATGTTAGTTCAAACTGGCTTAGATTACATTCCACAAGCGCCCAATGTGGTCATTGATGGATCGGTTCAAATGTTAATGTTTAACTGGAAAACAAGACACGTTTGATGGTGAACCACTTGACACGTTTGCATTCCACTCAGGTTGTGGAACTGCTATTTCGACGGCAGTTGGTAAAAGTGGTCTTCGCCACGGAGGCAATTTGCATGGACACTTACTTGTCTGCGAAGTGCGTCGTCTTCTCGGATGTTGAAAAATTCGACGGATATATGTTTCGACATCTAACTCCGAGTGAGTCTGCTTCTTCTTTCTCTTCAACGAAAGCGGGACATGCAAGTGACAACAGAAAATAGATTAAATCTGACCATTAGAGCTCTGACCAGCTGTTATTATCTGACCTAGACGATGCATGTGCAATTTCCTTTAAGGTGAGTACGTGCAGATGGAATTCGGATCAAGTTCGCAGACATGTAACACTTGATGTCAAAGTAAAACGAATGTTTTGACGTATACGTATTATTGATAATCGATCGACTTGACTAAATTGAGCCAACTT